TGAGCAGCGTCCGTGACACCTCCCTCCCTCCTTCAGCAACTGCGCGTCCTCAGTTATATCTGCGCATATGGCGGCAGAATATAGGTCCGCGACACCTCACTTCATTTTCATAACCGGTCACTTTCGTTTTCACATTGGGGTTGAGGGCGGCGTGATCGTCCTCTTCCTAGAGCGGCAGTTCAGCTTGCTCTGGCCCTGGCAATACCCGTGCTGTCACGTATACATCGATGTAGAAAAGTCATGTAAAATTTATATTTTTGTAATTTAAAAAATATATTTGCATACTGACCATCAGGAAAACTCCCCATTGTAGATATATTCGTAAATATTTACATATCTGTGGCTCCAGATGGCCACAGTCCTCCAATACACCTTGGTTCCATATTCATTTCAAAGGAGTACTACCCTGTACTAAAATGGCGGCTCTGTTGACGCAATACTTCCTTTAGATATTAACAGTGTAGGAGACATCTAATGTAAATATCTATGACGTTTTTGGACCACTATTGACCTTATTCTTAAAGTAAAAGCAGGTGCAGTCATAGGAATCTGATTGGCTCGAGACTTCCGGTGTCATTCACTTCCATTGATTTTTAGATGTTAGAAATGACTCTTTTTGCTGCTTTATGTCGCAAGCTGATCTTTTCTTCTTTTATGTGCAGTCATAAACTCACTTGTTTGTTGAGCAGGTTTGGCCATTTTCTGTTGTATGTTATTGCTAGTTGTTTCTCCTACTAGGCGATTGAATCTGAAGTTCTGGAACAATCAAAAACGGCCGCACTTCTGCTCTGCAGAATAAAATCAGTATTGTTAAATGTTTTATTTTTTATTTTTATACATGACTCCATTGTAATGTAAATGTATTGTAATGTGTGTTTATATAGCGCATTTATTGTGTATGGCCATATACCCAAAGCACTTCACAATTATGAGGGATGGTCTCTCCACACCACCACCAGTGTGCAGCATCCTCTTGGATGATGCAACGGCTGCCACAGGACAACGGCGCCAGTGCGCTCACCACACACCTACTATAGGGGAGTGGAGAGACAGTGATAGAACCAATTTGGTGGATGGGGATGATTGGGAGGCCATAATCGTAAGGGGCGATTGGGGGACTTTGGCCAGGACTCCGGGGTTACACCCCTGCTCTACGAGAAGTGCCATGGTTTTTTTAATGACCACAGAGAGTCAGGACCTCGGTTTAACGTCTCATATCGAAAGACAATGCCCACTGACAGTGTAGTGTCGCCTTCACTTTTACTGGGGCATTAGGTTGACCGCAGGTTGAGCGCCCCCTGCTGGCCTCACTAACACCACTTCCAACAGCAATCTAGTTTTCCCATAGGGTCTCGCATCCAGGTACTGACCAGGCTCAGCCCTGCTTAGCTTCAGTGAGTAACCGGTCTTGGGCTGCAGGGTGATATGGCTGTGGCTCCATTGACTGAATGGCATACTGAGCTGGAACCTTGTCAAACTTTTTAATGCAAAAAAAATTCAAAAACACTCCGGCTAAGTGTGTTACTGAGGTAAAGACCCAGCCACGATGCTCTGCATGATTGTAATGTCCTGCATTTTGTCCTTGCAGCACTGTGAGAAAAGACACAGCTAAATAAACAGCGCCATGTCTGCCTGGCATTGGCATGGGCGCCTTGATTAAGCCTGCCAGCCCTGAAAAATGGTCAGGCATAGTGTGTTGTGAAGCAGCAGTAGGGGAGCCAGCCATCTCAGTGTGAGTGTGTGTGTCCTCTGTTTCCATTGTTAAAGATTAAATGCCACAATCCAGTATTTAATCCTCATTTCATGGAATTGGGAAATGTTCCAAGGAGTGTTGCAAAACTAAAATAATCATAAAAGATTCTTAACTATTAAAAAAAATTTATCTCTGTGCACTACACAGAGATCTGTGGAGGATAATATATTCAGTGCCTGCAACAGAATAACATGCATTTTAATGAGATTACAAATGTAGTCGTCATCCCCTTCCAGGGACAGAATGAGTTCCAATCTCATTTTCAGCTCAAAAAGGAGCACTAAAAAATTTGTTTCAGGACTTGAGTACCATTCAAGCAGTCTTACACCTCCAGGGAGAAAACTAGTGCTGATTTTACCACTGGTGCAAATAAGCTTACTTATTTCTGAGTGTCTCAAACAGAGTTGTTTTTTCATACAAGGTCTGATTTATATTGATTTTTAGAAAAGCTCTACTAGAAATATGAGTGCTGAACATTCCCCTTTAATCACCAATCATGCACTGGATGTATTAGAAATATACAATTGAAGTCAGAATTATTAGCGCCCCCTTGTTTATTTTTTCCTCAATTTCGGTTTAACGGAGAGATTTTCTCAAAACATTTCTATTATAGTTTTAATAACTCATTTCTAATAACTGATTTATTTTATCTTTGTCCTGATGACAGCAAATAATATTTGACTAGATATTTTTCAAGACACTTCTATACAGCTTAAAGTGACATTTAAAAGCTTAATTAGGTTAATTAGGGTAATTAGGCAAGTTATTGTATAACGATGGTTTGTTCTGTAGACTATCAAAAAAAAATTGCTTAAATGGGCTAATAATTTTGCCCTAAAAATGGCCTTAAAAAATTAAAATCTGCTTTTATTCTAGTCGAAATAAAACTAATAAGACTTTCTCCAGAAGAAAAAAATATTATCAGACATACTGTGAAAATTTGTTGCTCGGTTGAACATCATTTGGGAAATATTTAGAAAAGAAAAACAAGTTCAAGGGGGGCTAATAATAAGTCATATTGCATAGTCTTTGTCTATAATTATTGAATTATTAAAACTATGAAATGCACAATTAATGTTGGTTTACATGTGCAAAGATTAAAAAAAATAGATCAAATTGAGAAATGTGTTAGTTTAGTCAGTAATCATTTGTAATCATTAACGTCTAGGCTACTTTAAACCAATGAAAATCCAACAAACTATTTGGCAAATGTGTCGGGCAATTTATCGAAAATATGCCATGTGATATCATGTTTTAGACCTTTATGACTGTCAAGGTCATCTTTCGAATGTATTAGACAAATTTGACCTCTAAAAAATGGTCCAAAACGACAATATATAATTAAATATAAAATGATTTATTGAAAATCAAGCTGCGTTAATAATTAATAATTTACATTAATAATAAATGACTTGCGTTTTCACGTGCGAGTATTTTTACCTTATAGTTACAAGGCTTGACATGTTTAGAGCACATTTTTGTCTAAAACAATGTATTTTAATTGTCCTGTATTTATCATGTCGATTAGTCATGCAGAAGTGTCTTGAAAAGGATTGTTGTTTCAGAATAAATACTCAAGAAATCCCTTCAACCTTTTTTTTTCAATCTGATGGTTGTTTTCGCTCGGACAAGCGCCTTGTATGCTGCAGAAATGCGCTGAGCGCTGGAGAATCAATATGAAATGACTCTCTCTGCCACCTTATTAATAATGAAACAATACGTCTTCACTCGACAGAGTCTCGGCGTCGCGCGCGCCTGCGTGCTCGTTCACGTCCAAGAGCTGGAAGAAAAAACACGTGTTTAACCTGAATCTTTAATTCCACCCACGCCTCTCAGAGACTACATTTTATATCTATATGTGACCATAATTAATTACCATTCTTGATACAGACATGCGTCAGGCTATATTTTTTACATTAAAGCGAGATGCATGGCAATAACCGCAGAAAGGCATCAATAAAAACAACACACTCTTCAAACAGTAACTGTTTTATTTAGTACTTTTAAATACTTCTTTTTAGCAGTCTATTTTATATACCTGTTTAATCAATCTGTTTTAAAACTGTTTCTGTTAAAGTATCTCTCTTTTCTTTTCACATACATACTCTTATTTACTGTATGGTTTTGAATATTCAGGTATTTCATATGCAACATCCCCAGAAACGAACAAACGAACGAACAAAATACACATCTTCTGAAGGCAGTGAAACGTGGTCTATGCCTCGGCAACATCAAATAAAGCTAGCAAAATACACTTCATCCAACTATTAATGTCAAGGTCCAGATATTGTCGTGCTACGATACTGTCGGGAAAAAAATCCAGGCCACACTTTACGTTGCAGTGTAATTACTGCGTAATAGTACTGAACTACGTGTACTTGGCATGTAATTATTATCTGGAGCTGCTTGTTTGGTATTACACATTAGCCTATGCAAGATGGGCACTGTAATGTAAAGTGTTTCCTTTATACCATGTGTCCCACATAAAAAGACGAATCTTCTTTCAATGCAATAGGATAACATTTTTGGGAAAATATGGCAACAGTCAACTCATCTCACAGCCTTTTTTCGGCTACATTTCACATGTCTGTGTTCACTAATAAAATCTCTTAAATATTTGTTCTCTCTGCTCTCGTTTATTCCACTAAATAAATGCCTGTAATCATTCCTGAGGTATCATTATTATTAGAATTGTTATTATTATTATGTATAGCCTCTTATTAGCATTGTAATTATTGTTTTCTTTCTATATAGCTGGGTCAGCAACCCCCCCTCACGCGTCATCCATGTACTTGGCTGGACTAAAATCAAATCTGAAAAAAATTAAAACGAAATACCGACAAAGATCATATAAAACAAACTGATGGGAGAAATATTTCCTATCTTTCTATATGCATGATGACCGTTGAGAATGTGAAAAGCCTACAGTAATAATAATAATTCATTCATAACAGACGGTAATGTTATAAAATACTACGCTTCTAACCAGGACCTTTCAGAAATTTCAGGCCGTCATTTCAACTCAATAACTGATAAATATTTCATGAAATGGACCCAGAGTCAGGCAAATGTGCTTGAGCATTCCCAGAAGACTTCTTCTTGCCATTGTCTCTTGCAAAAAATCGTCTTGTTTTTTTCTCCAGATGAAATAGGTATATAAATCCATTTGGGTGAGGATGAATTTTGATCGTCATTAATTATTCTTCTTTTTTATTCTTGCGTTGATGTCGTGTCTTGTCTTTTTTTCTTTTTCGCTCTTCTTTTTTTCTTCTCTGCTTATTTTTTTTATCTTCCCGTGGGTTAAAACTGCATCCACGTCACGAGCGCAGACAGTGCCGTTAGGAGCAGCGTTACGCCGAACGGAACCGATGACCGGATTGCGCCGTTTCCGCCAGCACACAGTTCAAACAAGCTGCCGCGAAAGTCCAGATTTCTGGACTCTTTTTTCAGCTTCTCCCACAGATCTGTGGCTCCCTCCTGACAGTCTGCCAGAGCAGTGGTCGCACATGAATGGAAATCATCCCAGTAACTGCAAATATTTCGAAAAAGGAAAGGAAAATAATCATTATTGCTGATTTTGTCATGCTTAACACATCGCATTAGGCTATTATACTAATATTCACATACTGTTAGGTTTTAAAGCTATTTTCAAAGGGGTTTTGTAAATATAGCCTAGCCCAAGTGCATCTAAAATTAGTAACAGATTTCCTCTTTTAGCCTTAGATACTAGACATGTGTAGAAAGCATTTTCTGAATTTAGAAAATTAACTTGTGCGTAATATTTGTCGATAAAACAATATTTCGGCCTGTTCAGTGCCTAATATCTATCTTAAATTTCAATACTCGTTTTATTTTAAATTCAGCTGAGATTGCCTTAAGTAATGCCTTTTTATGTAGCCTAAGACTACCCTGTAAAAAAATGTAAGATCAATAAGTCCTGTCAGCATATGTTTAAGTCATTTTAACTTATTAAACAAAGCTAATCACGTTTGAACTTAATTTTATAAGTTTGCAAGCTTTTTAATTCAGTTTAACATAAATGAACTCATAAGTTTTATTTGATTCAGCTTAAAATATTAAGGGAACAAGGAATCTTTTTACAGTGTATAGTTATTTTAATACTATTCGACATTGACTTTAAACATTCGGTCTATATTTATTTGTACAAAATGCTTAAAAAAAAGCGTGCATAATGAAAATGTATACTTTATTTATTTAACTACAAGATTATTAGAAACTCGAAGATGATGCACAGAGTATGCATGAAATATCCTGGCAAATGCATGGGCCCATGTAGCTGCGTGAAGCAGGAGAAGAGGGCACGAGGGAAACCCGAGTTGTAATGCGGCTCCAAAGGGAAAGTCTCCATCGCGTCACGTGATTTCTAGTGCCCTCCCCATCTCTCACGCTCTCTTACAACTCCCCTCCTGCGCCCCACCCCCTTCCTCTAACCCGCTCTCAAATTCATCATTTATTAATTTATCTCAGGAACACGCCCACATTCAAACCCTGCATCCGCAAGTGGGCATGCGCGCGGTCACAAGTAGGCTAGCCTGGTTCCAAATAAATTAGAACAGATATAATATTTGCTTCTGAAAGAGCAAACTAAAAGTGATTTTGTCTTATATCTAATCTATTATGTCTGAATATTTGGTGTATGGAAATGAAATGCAATGGCAGCCAGGCGCGTTGGCGTTGTTATAAAGCGCACTTCTCCTTACATCCACCATTTTCTCCGTATGTTGCATGTGCAAGAGTTAAGGTGTTAATACAGTTCAGTTTTCCTCCTTGATATTGGAAATTGATATTTAGCTATCATTATATAGTGTATTATCAATAATAATCAGAAACAGACAAAATATGCACAGCACTTTATAATTTTTCAGAATACTTAAACATGCAAAGAAAAGCCTCCGCGATGCAAAACAAGATGGATATTATTTAATATGTAAAGTTTATTAAACACTGAGTTATCTAAATACGTGGAGATGCAAAGGTGATGTGCTTTCAGTCTCTGTAATGAGATAATGTTCTGTTTTGGCTCCCTCAATCGCGACTGTAAAAGAACCGGTTATTTTATAGGGCGGATCGCTTACAATAACCGCGCATTACCTCCCGATCTGATCCAATTATGAATGTTGACCTTTGGCCTCGGCGTGTAGAGATGGTTCATCTAATTGTAATTAACTGGTGAAACGCGAATAGCGCAAACTGGCTGCACGGCTCTATTTCTACTGTCGAATTAAACAAGGGGCCCCTCGTGCCATCTGGCTCCTCGTTTTTTTTATTCATTCTCTCTCCCTCCCTGCTCTCTCTCACACACACACGTATATTTCATCTGTTGTGTGTATGCATGTTTCCCTTACGTGCAGATGGTCTGAAGGTTTTCCTTCTCGTCCAGCTCCTGTGGATAGTTGGCCATGTTCTCTCCCAGTTGAAGCAGGCAGTCGGAGAAACCTTTGAACACTGTTTCACATTTCCCAGCCGCTCGAACCGCCTGCAGCAGATAGGCTGGAAAACGAAAAATAACCATCACATTTTTGTGCATTGGAGAGTAAAACCTTCATTTCTTTGTCATTTGATTATTCTGTTAAAACGTTATTATTTTGTAGAACTAGTCTCGTGATTCTCAATTAGTTCAGTACTCGTTTAATTGTTAAATCTGGAAATGATTGATTGAATGCATGCATGAATGACTGAACGAACTATTTTATGCTATAAAAGACTTGCACGCAATTTTGTTGACTACAATAATGTGTGTTGAGCATGAGGGTGGCGCGTGGACAAACGATGATGTAATGCTTTACATGGGGGTGGGGGTATGTGGGCTTGTGTGTGAGGTGAGATTTTCATTCTGAGTGATTTGTATCCCCCTCCCCTTTTTTTACACATCTAGAAAGAAGTCTCTTTTTGATGACAGATCTATTAGGGAAAATGAGAACATTCTGGACACGGATGCTTTCCCTTTCCTTTCCACTTTCCCATTTGGGTCTTTGTGTTTCGACTGGTAGGTCAAGACTTGATCAGTTGACCAGATCCCTCTGCTTAACGAACCATAGACGCCAGTGGTTTCTCGGGTTCGTTAAGCAATGAGAAATTGTAAATTGATTGAGTTGTCGCGCTGTTCAAATCAGGTCGGGCCTCTGCCTATTAACTACAGTGGGAAGGGACAAGATCAAGAGGCACACACCCAGCACACCCCTACAATGCAGACACTATAGTGATCAGCAATGTTAAAATCCCAATCAATTGCTTTGTATGCTAAATGATGCAGTAGACCTTGCATAGATTATTTCCGTTACAAAACAAATATAATTTACAAGTAATATGTATGTGCACTACTCTAGCCAATTGCACAGTGCATTTTAAGCTATGTGATGATTTATATTAAATTACAATGCATGCCATATTTCAATATTTTGTATCATATAGGCTAGTACGTAAGTAGGAGTTCATCTAAATTATATTGTATCTGTGAAATAAGTAATATAGTCTTTACTCTTTACATTACATATGTTATGCAGTGCGATTTATTTTATGACGCTATATTGCTACATTATTCGTTACACAATATATCTCTTTATATAACACCTCGCTAAAAATACATAAAAACAATAAAAAACGAAAAAAGATGCTATTATGATGAGTTATTTTTAGCTCTTTCTGTAAAAAAACCTTTGGTCGATGCCACAAAGCTTAATTAGTATATAAAATTATTATCCCATAAAATAAATAAATAAAAAGCGCATCGAACAATGACACAAAACACTGAAATAATCAAGTAATTCACGTATCATGGTTACATTAAAATGTCATATTGATTCCATACACAAAGAATTTAAGGTGTAACCTTAACATGCCGCACAGGAGGCTTACATAACGAAATATCATGCTATAATTGTGATATCACGCACAGATCGCCCTTTTCTTCTAGTCGAAGCGCGAAATCAACATTACAGCATTATGTGCCTAAAAAAACTGAGTGAAATTAAATACGCAGCTTTGCATTATATGCTACTCTTTGTATTTTGCTGCATGCATTCTAACATTTTTCCTCAAAATAATTAAAATATTCAGACCTCAACATGGCGGATGTGAGGATGCGAAATACAAAGATGCTCATGCAGCTAGCTCTATAAAACATAGATGTATGATTTCATGTTTTAAATCCATTTCAGTCCCCACTGCCTTTATTCGCTTTTCTGGAATTAAAAGACTCACTGCGAACCAACGGTGAATTATTAAATCGCTTTTCGTTGTAGGGATGATGAGCTATATTTAGAAACAACTGAGCATCTAATATAGACTCACCTATCCTACTGTACTAGTGGTCACGACCACTTTACTAGACACTGTCAGCGGTACCGGTGTCAACCTGGCACCGCATAATCTGTTCAATGAAGTCAGGAGGGGGTTTATTTCGAATTAATATAGTTCAGCTTGGTAGCTGCTTCAGTTTTTTCCTTCACAAACATCGCTACTGATTTTAGCCAAATGCACAACATGACATTTTCATTGCAGAGCCCTGCGACAGCACAAACAAAAAGCCATTTAAAAATGAACAATATTACAAAACATGGCAGATTATTTTCTGCGAAGTCCAAAAACACCAATCGCACACCAAATTAATTTTCAGAAAACTGTAAGTAAATTATATTATTTGATTGTATGGACGCATGGGACCATAAAGGTAAAACTCACGATGCAAACTAGATCTTTGCAAGTAAAACCTTGTAATGGAGCCGTGTTATATATTCTCTTTTGTGTTATTTCTCAATAAAAGGTTTGAATAATTTATTACGGGGAGGATCGGGCGGTCCCACACTTTCACACTTTCAACTTGCTCCAACACAATTAACTGAGCTTTATTATTATAGAAATTGTCCAACACTGCATACAGAATACTTCAGAGAATACTGTGTATTTTATTATTCAATCACTGGTCAATGTCAAACATTTAAACCGCAGTTGGGACAGTAACACTGCAATTAAAATTGACACCAACATGCACTTCACAGATAAATATAATCAAAGAGTATATGTAATAAAATACTGTTTAAACACATCTGCGTATAGTTATAATGCATTCAGAATGCTAATTATAAATATGTATTTAACAACTAAATAAATAAGGGACAGGTCAGATAATCACAGAATAAAGGTTAGAAATAATCTACTCACCTATTTGAACAGCAAGAAACAATGAAATATATCTTCCAGACAAAGTTAATCCCATCGTACGTCCAGTAAAACCATTGGAGTATATGCCAATTTTAGATGGTTGTGAGGGGAAAAGATTGCCAAATCTGAGCGTTGTACATCGCGGTTCAGTTCAAGCAGCTATTCAGAAACTCTTTGTGATTTTTTTTTCCGATGTCGGCGAGGCGCAGAGAAGTGAAATGGTGCACCCCGTTAAGAGAAGGCGGTAATGCCTCGTGTTTTTTCTCTCCCTGCTTCACGCCCACATCTCAAGCTTGACGTAAAATTCACCGTCGGACTCCCCACTTCTCTATTTTCTCATTTGCTAGACCGGGCTGGCCCCTTTCTCCCCCCTCTCGCACTGTACTGGCATTTCAGGGATTGCGGAGATGTCCGCATATATCTGCTCTCTGGTGGTCTCACCTATCCAACCTCATGCAATGAAGCTTACACGTGGACCCGTGACCCATATATGGATACACGTGCAGACTTCATAGTGCTTGATCATTTTGTGTGGTTGGTGGGAAAAAAAAAGGTGAGATTAAGTTTGGGTTCAGGTTTGGTTAAAGGCCGAACTATTAATGTCTTTGATGCAGTAGCCTAATTTACGCATTCTTCGGACCATTTATAGTAGGATCCCTGCACCATATTAGTTGGAGATTCAACATAATTTGAATAATGACGTGCCCACATTTTTCTTGAGTCTTGTTACTGCGTTATTGATGATTTGTTTAGGACTTTAACACTCCAGTATAACCAAGGTTTGCCTGAGGTGACTTGAGGTAAGCGTATTCTGAGTGGGATATTTTTGGCGCATCGTGAAAATTATATCAGCCAAAAATAACTCGTGACATCAATTAAATCGACATGCTGTTGTCAATTAAGTGAACAATGCACAACCAAGAAGTAGATGATGCTCTAACCGTATGTTTTTTTCAAGAATTGATACATTTGACTAATTAAAGTTATTATTTCCAGGCCTTACTTGAAATATGAAATTATATATATATATATATATAATAGGCTCGGTTAAAGATAAAGAATCATCTAAATGGCCTGAGATGAGGAGTTGGCTACATGTTACAACTGAGAGAAAGGTAGTGATGTCTGTATCATTGGAAAAAAAAAAGTTCGTACCCCACTGACGTCAGCGGAATTTGTAGCCAACCAATGAGTACTGAGTATTGATGCACACCAATTTTTTTTTTTTTTTCAGAGACACTGACTTCAGGATGAGAATACTAAAAAGTTACCTAGGGCATTCTAGCTGAAGGAGAATCCGACCAGTGAGTAGAAACCGTGTGCTGAGTAATTAGGTCCCCTGACAGTTCATTTAGAGTCCAGACTATACATAACCCCAGAGACCTATGGCCTAAGGACTGTTCACAATCGGATCTAAATGTCTCTGGTGAATGACAGTACGGTTGAGTTTTAGTATGCAACGCATCGTGAGAATGGATATTTGTGTATTCACGCAAAGATGCATGTCACGCAGAGCAGATATTGCGTGCACAAGAAAAATGAGCAGTTGCATAACCCATGTACAAATACCTGCATAATGAGTTGCAATGCAGTGAGCGATGCAATATGGTGGATTTAATTTATAGAGCGATTCTATGGGAGTCTAAACAATGGCAGGTTTTTATTCATGTTTTGTCTCCATCTTGTGGCGAAGGCGCTACAACATTCACGATGTATCTGGGTTATGAGCTCTCTTTGATCAAAAATGTAAATATTTTGCAAATCAATAATATAAGACAGCGAGTCTTGGAGAAACTCAAAACCAACGAAATCAGCTCGTATGAAAACCTCCGTTAAATGAAGTGTCATTTCGACAGCATAGGGAATCCCAGTTTAATGTGTTTGTCCCCATCCTACCCAGCAATTACTAGCTTGAGAGGTTTTCCGTGGTGACTCATTGAGGTGGGCGCGGGGAGACAGAGAGAGAGAGAGAGAGATGGAGAAAAGGGGGATTCCGATATTCCAGCAGCAGCATTGATGCAGCACAGCCCATGTTTCATTAATATGGAGGCTGTAGAGTGAATGAGGTAAGGCGCAGTTTGCGTCAGCAGAGTTTCTTTCTTTCGTGAAAATGGGCTTTAGTGGGTTTTATCTGGAATTGCTTTGAGGAATTAAAAAGAGGGACAAATAATTCCTAAACAGTAAATTGATTAATTAGTTTTATTAGTTTCTAATTGATCTATTATTTCGTTCATTCATTTTTCTTCAGCTTAGTCCCTTTATTCATCAGGGGTAGCCACTGCGTAATGAACCTCCAACTTTTCCAGCATATGTTTAACGCAGCAGATGCCCTTCCAGCTGCAACCCAGCACACTGGGAAACACCTATGCACTCTCACCTTCACACACGCACTACAGCCAATTTGAGAGGGGTCTGGATGCAGACCTGGTGCAGTGCAATCTGAGCTGCATCCAATGCTTTTTATTGAGCTCATCTAACCCCACCCCTAGCCCTACCCATCACAGTGACGTCACACTCCATTAAATGCATTGTGTCTAATGCATCACTGAGTGATGCAATCTCAGCTTGCATCATAAAGGCTGCATCCCATCCAGATGGCCAATTTAGTTTATTCAACTCCCCTATAGTGCATGTGTTTGGACTGCGGGGGAAACCCACATTTGAAAGAAGCACACGCCAACACAGGGAGAACATGCAAACTCCAAACAGAAATGCCAACTGGTAATAACCTTAAGTTTTACGGATGTATTTGTAATGCAATAATGCACACCTTTTGTAAAGCTGCTTTAAAACAATAAGCATTGTGAAAAACATCATACAAATAAACTTAAACTGAACTGAATGATTAATAAAATAGTCAAAAAAATCGTCGTATCTGACTTTTAAAATTAGCATGAAGTAATATTTTTCTCTTTTTATTTTATATACATATCTGTACATTGCAATATTTGTAAAAAATAATCTGCCCTTATAATCTTTAATCAAAGACCATTCTTCCCTAACAACTTTTCTTCACTTCTGGTCACATGGAATGCCTTTAATGGAATGCATTTTGGGCAGGACTATCAGTGAGAACATTTACATGGACACCAATAATCCGATTTTAATATGATTGTATTAATACTCTGATGGAGAGTCTACCATGTAAAGAGGATCTTGACAGGAATTGAATTAAGACGTGGATTATTCCAATGTTAGCTGCATTATTGATGTGCAGTACACACATTTAAACAGGGCTGGTGCAACCATAGAGGCAACCTAGGAGGCGACCCCCTCAGCTAAAAGCTGCTCTAAAGTCAAGTAAAGAGCACATTAGTTATGTGCTGCAGGTCCAAACGCTTACACATTGCTTAATGCACACAGGATGTACAGCAATACACAAATATCTTTACAGATGAAAACAATTAAATGATTATTATTAGCAGTATTATTTATTATATGCATATTTATATTAATATATATTTTAAATTATATTTATTTAAAACAAGTTTAGATTTGTCCACCTGTGGGGTTTTGGAGACGTCTGCATCCCCATATGGGGTATAAGAACAGGACGTGTGTTTGGATATATCTCGGTTTTCTGACCACACTTCATTATTATTGTTCATTTATTAATTTGCTGGAGATTAGAATTTAGAAATAGTTTTCACACAAATCTTTGCGCTTAACAAACTAAATTAAATATGTCAGCTAATGGATGTCTTTAATGGAGAACAACACTGTTTCCTTACTCCACCAAAGTGTGGAAGTGAAGAGTAAAAGTAAAAAGAAAGTAAAGAGGCTGAATGGAGGAGGCTCGTTCTTTATCCTCGCACTGCAGATGCTCTGTTTAACTGTTTTCTCGCTAGTGACGCGTTCAGTTATGCTCAAAACACACCCAGAACTCATTAAGAGAATAAGCACAACCCTGTTAGACCATGTGCCAGGGCGCAGAGAGTGATGTTCCATGCCTCAAATAGTAAACTTGGATTCATACACGCCCTTAATGCTTTTGCGCCATGCGCTTTAGTCTTTACTATAGATTGTTAAAATAGAGCCTAATGTGTTCCTCACTCAAAAAAATGACATTTGCTGTTTGTTCAAACTACTTATTTAAAAACAGCGGAAACAACAAAATTCTTGAGTTTTTTTTTCATTCGAATATCTTCAATCCACTAAAGTTTGTAAAAGCTAAAAAGTTAGCTTAATTTCTTCATGTTGTCTCAATACGAATCAACTGTGTGGAGCCCATCATTTGTTTTACAGGTCTTTAAAAGCTATAATACGTTTTGAAGTATGTTATTATTGGTTATTCATTACTATGGTCTAAAGCTTAACCTGAAAGTATTAATGACAAGAGTGTGAGGTGTTGATATTGATGAACAAATAACAAATAAAGGCAATGGTTCCATGCTAAACATTTATTATTAGTGTACATTAGTAAATCACTCCATGGCATTAAAGCAGATAAAATCAGCATTTAGTAGTTAGTACAGTTACCCAACAAACTATCATATAATGTTGATTAACATGTAGTTTAAGAGGAAAAAATAGACATGTGCCTTCAAAAACCAGAGTGTTTGAAAAAAAAATTCTAAAACATTTTCTTAGGAGCACACAACAGTTTCGGACACATATGGAAATAGTAATGTCAAAGGCATACCTGCTAACACTTTTCCCTCCACTCATCCACCTGGAGTAGTGACTCATTTCACCGCGCTTTGCTAAAAAGTTTTTAGATCTCCAGGCAAGTTGACATGAAAATGGATATGAATGTTGATGTGACATAAAAGTACGTATAGGCGAAATCATCTTCAAAAGAACCAGCTTATATGTTTTTAATGGTGTTTTGTTTGTTTGTTTTATGGTTTGTTGGTTGGTTGGTTTGTTAGTGTGTTTGTTGGTTTGTTTGTATGCTGTATACTATAGTGATACTATCCCACCCCCAAAATTAGAAATGACCAAATTGTCCTCCTCAAATTCTTAGACTTGCACTTCTTTGCTTTACTTAATGATTTAAGGAGTTTCTAAAAATAATCTGCTGAGGTAAGAAACCTGTTTAAGCATTATAGCCATACACATATGATTAGACCAAGAATTTACTTAATTTAATTTCTTAAAGGGGACCTATTATGCCACTTTTCACATGCGGTAAAATACGTCTCTGATGTCCCCAGGCATTTTAGGCTTTAATCCTAATTGTGGCATTTTGATGACTGTCGCTTTAAATTCAAATGAGATTGTGCTCTTTTCAAAAAAAGGCAGAGCTACAAATGCCTGTGTCAGCATAGTGGCAGATTCAAAAACAACACCAACTTACTAGGCTAATGTGGCAGATAATGGGTGGGGCTTTCCTCTGAAGTCACGTACAAAGAGAGAATGTCAATCAAAGAGTTTCTGCAGACTGTTGCCACACTACTGCGTTTAAACCCTTTATAAATGTGATTTCGCATAATACTTTTGACTAAATGTTTCAGACATGTTTAAGTCTATGAATTGAACAGGTCCAGTGGAAATTTCGAAACAATCTATCTTTAACAGTCCAGTGTTAGCAGGTATGGTTATTAAGGGAAAACATGAACATTGGCTGCAATAGTTTATCTTTAAGAAAGCAAAGCAAAGCAAAAAATGGTACTGAGAGCCCTTTCCTCATTCCTCTCTATCTTTTCTCTACGGTTGTCTTGTGGGAATCAGTTAACCACGTTGATTTCCAGCTGATTGGTGATCTGACTCAGTGGGATGCAGTCCAGACAGCCTATCAACACCTTCCTCCCTGGAGAATAAGGGGTGATGGTGTCTGTATATTGCACTGAGCCACCTGGTGCAACTTGGCTGTAAGTAGAAAATGGATATAGTATGAAAATGGATGGATAGATAGACAGACAGACAGACAGACAGACAGACAGACAGACAGACAGACAGACAGACAGGCAGCCAGATATAGAATATAGATAAATAGATAGATAGATAGATAGATAGATAGACAGACAGACAGACAGACAGACAGACAGACAGACAGACAGACAGACAGACAGATAGATAGACAGACAGACAGACAGACAGACAGACAGACAGACAGACAGACAGACAGCCAGATATAGAATATAGATAAATAGATAGATAGATAGACAGATAGATAGATAGACAGACAGACAGACAGACAGACAGACAGATATATAGATAGATAGATAGATGATAGATAGATAGATAGATAGATAGATAGATAGATAGATAGATAGATAGATAGATAGATAGATAGATAGATAGATAGATAGATAGATGATAGATAGATAGATAGATAGATAGATAGATAGATAGATAGATAGATAGATAGATAGATAGATAGATTTAAAATCATTATACATTGCAGTTATGCATATGTGTATATACTGTATGAGCTTGAGATCTGCTTGTGTACATTTTCTTTCTATAGTTTTTGTTCTGTACTATACTATATTATACATTGCTTCCATTCAAAAAATATTAATGGTTACACTTTACAACATAACATCAAGAAATAAAATATAAAGCAGTCTTTGTGAAATATATGCAAGTGTCCCCCCCCCCCCCCATTTTATTTATTTATTTTTTTGTCGGCTTAGTCCCTCTATTAATCCGGGGTCGCCACAGCGCCCTTCCAGCCCCAACCCATCTCTAGGAAACATCCACACACACACACTCATTCACTACGGACAATTTAGCATACCCGAATCACCTGAACCGCATGTCTTTGGACTGTGGGGAAAACCGGAGCACCCGGAGGAAACCCACGCGAACACAGGGAGAACATGCAAACTCCATACAAAAAAAGCCAACTGAGCCGAGGATCAAACCAGCGACTTTCTTGCTCTGAGGCGACAGCACTACCCACTGCGCCACTGCGTTGCCTATTATTATTATTATTATTATTGTTATTATTATTATTATTATTGTTATTATTATTATTATTAATAATAATAATAATAATAATAATAAAGTTTTGATATATTTACCACCGTAGGATATTTACAAAATGTCTTTGAGGAACATTCTAACTATTTGGGGCATTAAATAAATATTGAACTATACACTTTATTGTTGGCTTTTCCCAAAAAGCTCCCTGTGAATCTTTTGTGGTCCAGTGTCACAAATATGAACTATTTATTTTTACAAATGACTTGGTGAACATCAGCGCTGTTTGTTCATTATAACAGTGTGTTTCGTTTTGTTTAATTATCTATTAAACTTCGTTTGTTCATTTTCCTTCTGCTTAGTCCCTTTATTCACAGTGGAATGAACCGCCAATTTATCCAGCATATGTTTTACACAGCTGATGCCCTTCCAGCTGCAACCCAGTTCTGTGAAACACCCATACACTCATACTCATTCACATCCATACACTATGGCCAATTTACTGTATTCAATTCACCTATAGCGCATGTGGTTGGACTGTGGGGGAAACCGGAGCACCCGAAGGAATCCCACACCAACAAGGGGAGAACATGCTAACTCCACACAGCAATGCCAACTTGCACAGCCAGGATTCGAATCAGCATCCTTCTTGCTGTTAGGCGACAGTGCTAACCACTAGGCCACCGTGTCGCCTCTTTTAAATTTGATGCAGTGCAGTTTATTCAAACTTACTCGTATGATTTGACTTTGGTTGGTGTAAGACCAGCTCCATCAAGACGGAGCTGAACATTTTTCAGTGTGAAGTTATAAGGGTTTTGGAATGACACGCTGACCATGAGATCCCTGCCAACCTGGGGCACTCCAGTCACCTGTGGATCAAACATTTCAACAACTAACGTAAAATACCAGATCTATCATATGCTCAGTGCTCATTTATAGAGAGTGATCATACCTTCATCATGAGTTCAGGAGGACGGAGATTGATAACCCTCATTGCTGAAACGGATTTGCCAGTTTCGTTAACTTGCCCATGCACCACAAAGAGCAGGTTGGATTGTTCCACCAGGAAGGACATGTATTCTGCAGCTTGGACTTTCATCGTCACAGGTGTAGCTGTGAAAAAATTCAGAAATATTAATCCTTGAGCGCTGTTGGGGATGTTTTCATCCACTCTGAGGTGATTTTGAGGCTTAATTTCGCCACAACTACCTCCGTGTTTCAGCAAATAGGATGATTTTTTGCTGAAAAGTCTTATTTTGACACACATTTTGGTAAAATGCATTGGAATTTTTCTAAATCTCAACAATAAATGCACTCTAAAATTGACTACCCTTTCGTTATGTTGGGGGTTGTTTTTGCCCCATTGACTTCCATTGTAATCTCATTTCTTTGATAGCAACTCATGACACCATATAATCATGCATTCTTGATTGCTGATGGCTTTCCCTGTTGGGAAGAGGTAAAATTTGTGATTTGTTTTACTGTTGATCATCAGTTACAGTGCAAAAAATAAATAAATAAATAAATGATCACCAGTGAAAAATACAATTTTTACCTCTTCTCAATAGGAAAACCCAGCAAAAATCAAGAATGCATGATAATATAGTGTCATGGCTTTGCAATCAAAAAATGTCATTATAATGGAGGTCAATGGAGCAAAAAACAGTCAATAAACATAAAGTCGGACTCACTTTGCCAGGCGTCCACAGTTGAACTGTAGTTCTCAAGCTTAAAAGTTGAGCTGGTGAGACCCGTGTAGTACATCGCGCAGCCAGTGACAGTGAGACTGACGGTGCTGGTTTGGCTGGTCTGGTTCTTAATGTTCATCGTCAGGGTGAAGTTTTCCCCAATTTTGATAGTTTCAGCCTTAATGTCGATTTGCACGCCTGCATCAGGCAGTGGTGAGTATTTCCTCTTAGGAATGCCCCGGCGCTCGGCCAGCTGCATGACACGTTTGTCCTCAGCACTGCCTGCAGTCAGAAATAGTGTTGAAAGATTGATGAGGAGTGTGTAATCATCCAGTGCTATATCACAGCAATTCATATCTTTGATTTAGTGGCTCATTTGTATTCTCGTTCCTACGTTTTGGTAGGATTTGCTGACCCCCCAATGAAGGGTAGTGTTAAGGCTGATTTATAGTGACCGGCGTAACCCACGGTGCCTGCCTTGAACGTAGTCATGCATTTATACTTCTGCATGTTGTTTGTGTTGCTCTGCAATAACGCTTCAAAAACACTAGTTGGCAGTGAGGTAAAACACATCATGCAAAACACATTATGCCAATAGAACACCATTTTAAAAACAACGCAGGCTCATTCTGTTTGTGTACTTTTATATACATTTCTGGAGAGCACCAAATATGTCCCCAGGAGGTATGTTTTTTTTTTTTTTTGCAGGTTTGGTTTTTGTGAATCTGTGTACGCTTCTTGAGATCTCAAATTTCTCTCGTGAGTGCAATTCATGCCTGCTGTTCTTACAGAAATCCACCAGATGCTGCTGTCGACTGACTGACTAACTGACCAAGTAACCTATCCCCCTACCCACTACCATCCCCAAACCCAACCGATAGTATTTTAAAAAGAATCGATTGACCCCATCTTCATGGTCAACTCCGCTCTGTGTCTCAAATTCTCCATCATACGCAGTGAGCTACCAGACAAACTGGTAACAGTGGAAAAGCGTACTATACATAGGTAAGCAGTCAGCTTGTAAGCAGGAAAAGGAACAGCATCATACTGACCCGTATCGTTCGTTTTACAGACAAAATTCAGCCATACGTACCTCTGGCTACATTATTTGCGATCTCCAGAAATATATTAAGGGCTACATTTTCAGAATGAGCCCATGTTGTTTAAATAAGTGCCTCTTCCCACCATAAATAACGCAGTCTTGGGACCTGAACATCTATTCATCTCTCTCAAGAAACATATCTCTCTACTCTCTAAAAACACAGTCTCTGTTATATACTGAGATATAAAGTTGTTATATCTAGTTACTTGTCATTGACTCTGTGAATAACATATTTAATTATGTGTAAGGTGCTTTGTAAATGTTTATAAGGCCCCAGCCATGCATGATAATTGCATATGTGTGGTATAAGGATTTCTTTCTTGAACCATGTGAAGTCTGTATTGTTGAACACCTAGTTTCTACTCAGTATTTTATAAATGAGGCCTCCAATGTTTTCTTGGCACACATGAATCTTACCTTTTGGATATTTATAGTTCAAGGTGATGTCAATGTAGCCGTTAGTGTTGGGCCTTTTGGTGACAATGAGCTGTCCTACATATGTGGTGTCCACGTGGACAATCTTTGAGTTTCCATACTTATCAAACTGATGGAAAACCACATCGCTGTTCACCTGGAGAAAGGAGAGCATTTCAAACACAACTTTCAAGTTTTTGAGATCTTTATATATAATGAAGCGGTGAGGACAAAATAATCTGAGAATTGACATGTTTCTGACCTCTGCAAAGACAAATCGTGAATCAAACGAGTAGCTGAGATCTCCCTCTTTGATGCATTTGACAGAAGTCGGGCCACATCGGTACAGACCTGAAACAAAGAAGGAAAATATTTAGCTTCCTACTTAATTTTTTGACTGTGTTTTAGTATCACGGGTGCATTTTTATCAGAAATGCTACCAAAAATACATTTTTAGGTCACACTGTGATGCAAATGCATAAAGTTGGAGCAGATGTGAATAGCAGGGGTTAACAATGGAAATTATTAGGAAATTCTAAGGGCCCTAGTCACACTGTTGCCAGATATAATTTACTTTTTTCAGCCCAAAACTCGCCCAAACTCTTAAAAAAATGGCCAAAATATTAAATTCATTCATTCATTTACTTTTCGGCTTAGTCCCTTTATTAATCTGTCACCACAGCGGAATGAACCACCAACTTATCCAGCATTTGTTTTACGCAGCGGTTGCCCTTCCAGCTGCAAACCATCTCTAGGAAACATCCACACACACTCATTCACACTCATACACTACAGACAATTTAGCCTACCCAATTCACCTGTACCGCATGTCTTTGGACTGTGGTGGAAACTAGAACACACGGAGGAAACCCAGGCAAACACAGAGAGAATATGCAAACTCCAAACAGAAACACCAACTGACCCAGCTGAGGCTCGAACCAGCAACCTTCTTGCTGTAAGGCGACAGCACTACCTACTGCACCACTGCGTCGCCATGTTAGATTCATATTCAATTCAATTTAATTTTATTGTGTTTAATCGACATTAACCTAGTTACTTTATCTGTCATAATGTTCAACCATACAGCAACCAACACCAACAGAACCACTACATAACCGGATCACATCAAAACATGTTACCTATCACTACCTAATAGAGTAAGTTTACTTTCCAAACGGGGTATAAATTCATCCCTTTTGGGGTTTAAAATTCTTTTAAACATAACAAGGGTGCTATTTCTTGCTGTCAATTGCCAAAAAAAAAAAAGATGGATGAAAGTTTTATGGTGAACCGCTGTGAGTTTGACTGCAAGCACTGTGTAATGCTCGTATACGCAAAGTGGAGTCAAGTTTGTCCAGGAGTCAGACTTTGATACGGCTTTCCTTCACCTCCTCTTGTGGATAGGCCCATGCAGTTAGCACTATGCACTGGTCACTTACTACTAACCGAATGGAGTTGGAGCACATGGTTATGTTTTGTTAATGTTGCATATAAAAGATTATACCACCTAAAATTTGTCAACTGGCCAATGCCATATTTTACCTGCACAATCTAATTTAAAACTACACAATTGGGCAGAAAACCGTCCAATCTGGCAACACTGCCTAGTCATACAGGGGCGCCATATAGGGGCACCAGCCCCAATATTTTAGTATATCATTTTGGTATTTACATATTTGCTCGATAATCTATTAAGACTATTGTATGCTAAATTGAAAGCACCTCTCTTACAAAGCACAGGTTTCCCAGAATTCACTGCAGTGTAACCTGCGAAAGCTAATGGTGGAGAAGAAAACTCGCACGGTTTTAAAAATACTCCTCTGTTGTGTTACAAATTAAAGTTTTAAGAGTTTTTCAGGCGGGAATGTAGTTGTTTTAAACTCGAATCGGCAGTTTATTTATAAAGATAGCACGTCTTTGTCGATGTGCCTCAGCTTATGCGAACTCTGACCCCCAGCCTGCCAGCGGGAGCTCCGTCATCTTCTTCACTGCTGAGAGCAGCTTTACATCGGCCAGTCCATCACGGATGTACCGCTGAATTGCATCTGTCCATTGTAGTTAATACATGGAATTTAAAACATTTTGTGCATATCTAACGGACAGTTTTTGGTCTTTTAAATATATTATTTGTTATCGGGTGGATTATTTTGTCAGTGTTATTTTGTTATCTTTTATAATTGTCTTAAACTTTTGCTTAAAATTAATTTACATTAAATTAATTAATCAATTAAACAAATTGCTTAATGTTATCTTTATTTCCTATTGTGCACATCTTGTATTTTATACTTGTATAATGTCCATCATAGTTTATTAAATCTGATAAAAAAAAGACATGAGTCAGTGTATAATAACCCATTTCACTTCATATTTATAGTGATTTATGTGTACATTTTCTTAAATCAAAAATATAGATTTATAATATCAATATAATATTAATTATAAGGTTGTGCTTTATATAATTAATTCATTTTATTTTTAAAGTAGTGAAACCGATGAATCCATGGTGAGGTAATTGACGTTATAAAGAGTACACTGCCCTTCCATTTGAAAAAGTATCCGATTTGTGTCCTCGCGTCCTCGATAGTTCATTCTTCCAAGTCTGAACTTGGCAAGTCTGACCTTCCAAGGACGCAAGACCAAACTTTGCGTACTTTGTATTGAGAAACGTCCCCTTAAGACTTTTGAGGGTTGTAGGCTCTTCACAGACCTATGCTGAGTTTTGTGTGCCATTCAAATAGATGCCAATTTAAGTATGGCATCTACTTGATGACATAAGACGTAGGGATGCATAGTGATGACATGTAATCAACTAACGTGAGAATTTATACAGATCCAGAACTGCAACGCTTGTTTAAATGGAGGATCAAACATTTTGGATAAATGAATAGATTGTTGTATTGTTTAGTGTATGCAAAATTTCCAGACTCCAAGGCATCAACAGAGCTTAGAGCGAAAAAATAATACAATGCAACATCATAGAGCCTGATCGCTCATTAGTGACTCGTTCAACATTCGCAAAGTGAAGTTTATTCACTTAGGATCACGTGATAATGATTGAACACGGCTGGTTCTGCATTAGCATATATGATCCACCAATCAGGCCATTCCTAACCCACTATAAAGAGCCAGGGTTTTTCACTACAGTCATCTTCGATTTGAAGAATCCCCCCTTCCACGCCTACCTCTTCACCTTTCCCTCCATAGGGCGGCACGGTGGCCCAGTGATTAGCACTGTTGCCTCACAGCATGAAAGACACCGGTTCTAGTCCTTTAACAGGCCGGTGGTCGTTTCTGTGCGTAGTTTGCATATTCTGCTCGTGCTCACGTGGGTTTTTCCCGGGTCCTCTGGTTTCCTCCCACATTCCAAAAACATGCATAACAAGTAAATTGATCAATCTAAACTTAGCATCACAGTCAATCTCTCACCCTGCAGCATATCTCTTCATAGCTTTTATTTTAGTCATCAGCTCTTATCAAGGGGGAAGTTGTCGAAATTACCTGAGCTCAAGGCTCCCCTCTCGCCCTGCAAACGGGAGGGAGCCTGGGGCTCAAGGGCCTTTTGAGTTCAGGTCTCTCTCCCGGGACAGCGCGCCAAACTTGCTTATAATCAATCATCAGCTAAGTGTGAACTCTTGAAAGAACCAAGACGGGTAAAAACGCGGTCCGAGACTGCACCCGAAAAATGCGCAAAGCCATTTACTGTAAATGTTGCTGCGTATGTGACAGCAAGCAATCACCTGTGCCATGTAGAGGATGTGGTAGGAAGCTAATTGGGTTGGACTCATCATCCTGAGCTTGCATAGCATGTAGAGTTCATAGAGTGAATGTTTATTAAAATCGTATCATTAGCTATATAGAGGATATCTAGGATCATACCATCACTGGTCTCCTGAGGGGTGCAGTCAGCCACCTGCCAGCCGGAGTATTGGTCAGGCAGATCAAACCTCTTCATGAACACCTCATTCCAGCAGTGGTAGTTCCTGTGAAAGATAGTAGGCTGTCAGTGGCTGTGTTGGAAAGTTGAAATGCTGCCTCCGCATGAAAACAACTATGAAAATGTCAAGCCGATGATTATTTTGTATCCTGCTTAGTCTACGGCTCAGATGCCATGCCCATGGACCACCAGCTAGTCTTCTGACACATAAATCACTATATATTTGTACTATATATACAGCTGAATCAGGATTTTTAGCCCTCCCTGTATATATTTGACCCCAATAAGAAGATTTTTTTTAAACACATTTCAAACAAACGCCGAATCAAAACTTTTTAAAATTCTGTATCAATATTGCAGTTAGTTTTACACGCTGGCGGAAGGACGACATAATGGCTGAGGTATTCCTGTTAGACAGGATATGTTCTGTTTTAATACGATTTTAGTCACTCAAAGCTGATGTAGATTGTGTTGTTATGAATGGGTTATATGCACAGAAGTGTTGTTCAGCCACTGAAATGTCCCAGTGAAAGATTGATGTGACTATTTTCCAAGCGATTCTTGCGTGCATGAAATATTTAGCATTATGACAAGCTCTGCTGCTACACAACTGTAAACGTGTATATAATACAGTTTTGGGAATTTTAGTATTATAAAGTACTGTAAAATTTGGCAAATGACATGATCTAGTGGGTCTCTGCATACCTGTCAGCATTGGGATGTGAAAATAAGGGATATGCCCATCATAATAATAATAAAAAAATCCCTAAATTACTAAATACAATCACTTGGAGCTGTTTTGTTTTAAATAAACAGTTCAATGGTCAGTAATATGTTTTATTATAATTATTTTTCACAAAAGAAAAAATAAATAGAATACATCAGCAGCAAATAAATCAGCAAACAGTTCAGCTTATTAAAATGAATAGCTATTATAATGAAAAAGAATCAAGCTATCAAATCTCATTAGCCGTTTCTTCACTGTATAACTTGCATATTCTGATTAAAGAGCAACCAATGAATCTCTTATTTATTTGGATTTTTTTTCCACTGGATTACATTAAATAACAGAGGTTTCCCTTTAAAAATGCACACATCGTAATAATGAAAGCTATCGACTGCTCTCCTAACTTTTTATGCTCATTTAGGACGAAATTACTTGTTTGAAAAAAAGAAAAGCCCACCAAGATCGACATCTTTAGATATTATTATTAGTTATGTGTATATCTGTTTAAACACGCACCCAACACCCAGACATGTGTCCGCTTCAAATCACGAGTACAGAATCCATTTAGGAAATAGCGTTTGTTTATCACTATTGAGTGAGTCAGCTGACGCATCGCTATAGACTGTTTTGAGGATTGCATATGAAGGGGAGACGGCACCTGTAATGAAAAGGAAAGGAAATCCCGCCATTTTTATATTGATTTCAAAGTGTTTTCATCACTAAACAAAGCGAAAGCACAGAACAGATCCACATTTAAGATTGAGGGGCGGCCCCTGGTGGTTAGGCGGTATGGGTTGCATATAGGGAAGATCGGCTCTTTAATGTTTGTTTGCCACCCTTCAGAGAAAGACGGGAAAATATGGGAGAAATACAGGAAAATACCTTTAAGGGATGATTGAGGGATAGAACTGTAAAATACGGGAGAATTTCGGGAAAAACGGGAGGCTTGAAAGGGTTGACTTTAATGTGTGTGTTCGTGATTCAGGAGGCGTAGCTTTGGACGGCAGGGGAGGGATTGTGTTTCAAACATATTATGCTAACCGGTTTGAATTTAGGCAGATCGCCTTCTTAACCTTTAACCATCATGGCCTACTGTATCAGACTTTGCATATCTCACCAGATTGAATCTCTTGTTTTTTTTCTGTTCACACTCCCATCTGGATTCAGCATGATGTTTGCCTTTATGTTGCCTCCGTTGTCATGAGCAGAGCAGTAGTTGGTGATGACCCGTGCAGGTATCCCGAGGGCGCGGAAAACTAGATGAGATCATCAAAAGGTCATGGGTAAATCATTTTGAAGGGGTCCAAATAAGATAAGCATTTAAAGAACACACTGTTTTCATACTCACAAGTGTTGAGCGTGCCTGCAAACACCCAGCACTGAGCAAAACACACAGGCGCACCGCCCTTACTGGCATATTTGAGAAGGATTTCAGCACTTCCAGTCCAGGCGGTGGGTGCTGTGCCGCTGGAGTAATCACCAGTCCAGTTTCCAGCCAGGACACCATTGTCATCAATGGAATTCATCTGAAATGACACCCCCAAAATGTCTAAATGCACACGCCATGTGTATTTATATACTTTAATCACTGTTGCTATCAAGAAGCTGCTTTCAGAGCATACCAGAGCTGATGCTTGCCGAGCTACTTCAGTGGCGTTCCCACGATACATTAGCGGCATTTTCCCAGAATCCAATATGAAAAGACAGGCATCCAGAACCCCTTCTTCAAACTAAAGAGAAGAAGCAAAAGTAATGCTTCACTCAGAACTGAAATCTACATCAATCTTCGCTTGTCACAAAACTTTCATTCCTCTGTTCAACGTAAAGTTAGGGTCACACTTTATTTTAATGACCCGTTTGTTGAGTTTAAGTTACACTGCATCTACATGCCAACTAATTCTCATTAGATTATAAGTAGGTTGGGGTTAGGGTTAGTGTAAGTTGACATGTACTTGCAACTTAAGCTTCTTATAGTCAGTTAAACGTCTGTTGAACAAGCGGTATCAACAGATATTAAGCTGACGGTCTACTAATATTCAAATGGACCATCAAAATAAAGTGTTACCGAAGTTATTTTGAAAAATGTTGGAAACCTGTAACCAATGATGACTAGAAATGTATTTGTTTTGGAGGTCAGTGGTTACAGTTTTCGAACGCTCTTTAAAACATCTTCTTTTGTGTTCACCCAAACAACAGGGAAACTCCTGTAACTGTTGAGGAAACTTTCAATTTTGGGTGATTGATCCCTTTCAGTGAAGGTATCAGATTGAATAGAAGAGCAGTTGTTTGAGAAAGCACTAACCTGGCCGTAGTTCCATGAACGGAAGGAAATGTCGTTTATTTCTCCATTGTAAATGGTGCCCACATCGTTCATCACATACTCCTGTCTTTCAGCTTCATTGGGCATGTACACTTGATCCGCTACACATCGACAAATTTAGGATGAATGCTTTATGATAATACAAATACATGAAATGTTGCCGGCTATAGTGAATGCACAGTTTTGTACTCACAAGGGTCCCAAGGATTGAACAGCACATAGAAATCTGTGGCAGAGTTCTTCTCAGTCCGCCTTTTTCCTGTTTCATTCACAACTACTGCAAACGTTGAGAAGCGGCCAATGATGCTTTGGACATCGGGTGTTATACCCACTCTGATACTATTGCCTTGTTTTTCCAACAGGCGACCCCTCCAGCTACTCTCAGTCTTCACACTTCCGAAGGACACAGTGATGTAGGTGCCCTTATTTTCATCAGGTACACTGCCTATGTGGACAGATATAGATCATTTTAAAAGGATTGTTCCCCACCCAGAAATGACAAGTTTTAAAACTCTTATGTCGAGTTCACACTGCATTTGGTCAGAAGTGGTCGGAGAGCAGGATTGCACTGCATGACTATCTTGGGTCATATTCAGTTGCTGTTGTGTTCATGATGCATGATGAATCGGCAGCAGAAGGTTATACACTGTGCATCTTTACTACAGGTAGATTTGGACAACACACACTATGTTGATGAAGGGTGTTTTGTTGAACACAAAGGAATACATTTTTTTAATATTAGAAACCTACAAACACTGACTTCCATAGTACTTGTTTTTTTCTATTACGGATGTCAATGGCTCATAAAATCATCTTTTGTGTTCAACAGAACAAAGAAAGTCATAATATACATATATTTTTCATTCATTCATTTTCTTTTCGGCTTAATATCACTCTAAAATGACATTGGACACACTGTACCTACTCACAGTTTTGTTTAAACAGCGTCCAAGAGTTGATTTTGCATCAAAGATCTCAGTTAGTTTAGATCAACAACAGCAGAAAAATAAGGTTCTTTTTGGATCCTCTCCACTAACAAGAACCCACACCTCAAGAGGATTTTCTGCCACAGGACAGCAGCAGCAATAATTAACACGAAGCTGACACTGAGACTGAATTAAATAGTGCTTTGACAGCCGAGGGAACATCACTTGACCTAACAGCAGAATGGCACTGCGCTCCGCTTGATATTCATCTGCTCTAATGAAGACAGCCAGATGTTTTCTCAGCTCTCATTGTTTGTCTGAGAGTTATTTCCAGTCCATTAGTGGCTCTGTTCTCAGTAAGTTCATGTTACGCTCAAGCATTAATAACATCACAGATGTAATTCCATCTTTGCATGGCTATTTCTGCCTCACGATTTCTAGCCAAGTCATTCAGGTTGTGCATTTGTTGTTGTTGTTGTCATTCTTTTCCTCCTCCTGTGCTACACCTCCACAGCTTTTGTCAGGTTCAGTACTAACTAGACACATAACAACAGGTCAACACACTCGGTTTCTCTAAAGGGAAGGTTCACCCTAAAAACAAGCATTCTGTCATCATTTTCCAAACTCGTACTATACTTAGTGACTTTGTCCTATATGGAAAACTTCAGTCAGCAATTTATAATTACTCTTCAAATATATTTCTATTCTCCATAGAAGACATTTAGTCATAGGACTGAAACAACAGAAATTAACAATGACAAAATGTCAATTGATGAGCAATCCCTGTAAGAAGCACTCTTTGATATCGCTCTGTAAACAGTCAACTTTATCAACTGAAATAAGTGTTGTAAACTCAAAATCGACTGGAAGTTAATTCTACTCATTTGATAAGAGTTTTGAACTCAGTGTTGAAAGTAATGAGTTAATTAAATACCTCATTACTTCAACTTCAATGGAGGAAGTTGACAGAACTCATAACTCAAATGGCTTGTAGCAATCGGTTTCCTCAAACGATTTGAGTTGCCCTAACTTATTGGTAGGGCCAGATGGAATCTGCGGACATTTTTTGCTATCTCTTTTATTTTGTTAAAAATCTTCGGATTTATGCGGAATGATTTTGGAAGTATCATAACTAAAACCTTAATATATGAAATAAAAAATAATACTTTTTAAAATTGTATTTAATGTTTACAATACAAATCCAATTGGATCCACTTCATTTGGTAAATAAAGCAAGTCTCTCATATAACAGATCTACTAAAAGACAGTAAATATAACTTTACAAACTGTATTGTAAATAAATCATTAATATTTTCATATTAGTCAATAATATTACTAAAATTTATTTAATATAAATATAAATTTACACACAATTACTCAAGTAAATAAACAGAATCAATGATGGGCTAAAAATCAGCTGAATTCTGCGCGCACAGATTCTGTGTGGGCCTGCTGTTTGGGTTTTACAGTACTCTTTTGGTTTCACTTCTCTTTATTTATTGGGTTTTACTGTGCTCAAATTGCTTGGGTTACTCAAATGGGTTAAGATCACAGTACTCATTAGGATTAGTTTTTGAACTTAAATGCTTTGTTGCAATCAGTTTCCTCAAATGGTTTGAGTTACCTCAACTTTTTGGGTTTTACAGTGTAGTCTTTCCTATTATAGTACCATAGTGTGGAAAACTAGCATCGTCCTTAAGCAAGTGGTCTAGAATCAAGATTAAAATCTCTGAATGATCTGACACTTCTGTGAACCCAATCCCTAATCTTACAGTCTATTGTTGCAATGTAGGCTTATAATGCCCAAATGTGATGCCAAAAAAGGTTCTCGAGGGCATCATCGTGCAGTGCTGTATATTGAAACGATGAAAGAGCTGCTCACCGATCATGAACTCCAGTTGCACAGTGTCCTGGGTCTCATCGAAGGGTCGGTCAAACAAGATGTCGATGAGGAATTCTTTATTCCTGCGCACAATGAGGCTGGAGTTCTTGTACATGCTGGTGTTGTGGGCCTGCTTGTTTTCTGTTATATGCATATCAAGACTCTGTACCGAGAGAGTTTGTGGCACTGGAAAAATAGACAAACAAATGCCACACTTTGAATTGGTCAGAACTAACTATTCAGAACAATACAGTTCAAAGAAAACGAAAAAAAAAAAGATGTTTTATAGAGTTATCTGTTGTGTGTTGTCATAGACCCGACTCATGGCCGAGATTTATTAGGTTTATTAAGTCTAACCTCCCTGACTTCATCCCTCCTTTCTACTTCATACCAAAAAAATCTATCAGGAGCCATGCAGTATAAACAAGATCATCATCATATTATTTAAACTATGTTTTGTCGACTTATAAAACTCACTGCATGCCGGTTTCACAAAGCATGAGCCGTTTTTTTTTTCGACGTGCATGTTCACAACTGCACCGGGAGCAGGGCGGGTCAAGCAGGAGCGGTGTGCGAGAGGCGCGCGGGTATGTTTTTTTTTTTTCTGTGCACATGCTCAGTTTGCTTTTTGATTAAACTACATTGCTTTCATCAGCATTGGTTTGGTTGCACATAGAGAATAACGTCTTAATTCTGGGATTACCCCTCTTAATAAACACACTTGCAAACAAAGTAAATCATATCTCAAAGCATTTACTGATTTTTACTGAGGTACATGCCCCCAGTAAATGGGGTCTAGCAACACCCCTGATGACAGACCTGTTTGTTTTCAGTTAAATCCTCAGATTAGGTCTGTCTGGGGAATTGGGCGTAGCTAACATACTTAACCACGCCCCTATAGTTGTCAGTTTTGACAACAAACAGAAATGGTGAGCAGAGGAGTCTGTTGGGTTGTAATAACTCTCCCCAAACCCTTTTCCCCATCTTTCTGAATGAAATGCCTACTTTACTACATCCAATCAGCTCGTAGTAGACAAAAACAAGCCACGCCCACTGTTTCTTATTTAATATTCGGTTTCTCTATAGAAACTGCATCACAATACGAAAAAAAAAAAAACGGTCGCAGCTTCCAGTTCATGCAGACTTTAAGAGCAGCGACACCTTGACCTAATGTTAGCATCGATCTAGCACACATTTTATTTGTATGTGATGTAAAATAAATAGAAATAGAACTTTACAGGGTCCTCTCGGCATCACACCAGGTAAAGATTCACACTCGGGTAGGGAAACCTCCAGTGCGTTTGAGATGGCAAAAGCAATACGGGCACGCTGGGATCCCCAGGGCCAGGGCAGGTGGGACGGAAGAGCCATGATGTTCACAAGATCTTCACAAGAACCTGGAGGACAGATCATATTAATGTAAGACTTAAAAACACTTTACACACACTGTAACAAGTCACTTATTACCTGCTTATAGGTAAGATATTTTCTGTTTATTATCATGCAAATATTCTGAATGATCTTATTCTACATCTTAATCCCACACTATAAAACATATGCGTTAATTAACAAATATATATATATTTATATATATATATATATATATATATATATATATATATATATATATATATATATATATATATATATATATATATATATACAGTTGATGTCAGAATTATTAGCTCCCTTCAAATTTTTTCTTCTTTTTTTAAATATTTCCCAAACAGATTCAGGAAATTTTCACAGTATGTCTGATATTGTCTGATATTTTTTCTGTTTTATTTCGGCTAAATTAAAGCAGTTTTTAATTTTTTAAACACCATTTTAGGGACAAAATTATTAGCAACTTTAAGCTATATATTCTTCTATAGTCTACAGAACAAACCATCATTACACAATAACGCCTAGTTAACCTAATTACCCTAGTGAAGCCTTTAAATGTCACTTTAAGCTGTATAGAAGTGTCTTGAAGAATATCTAGTCTAATATTATTCACTGTCATCATGACAAAAATAAAATAAATCAGACATTAGAGATGAGTTATTAACACTATTATGTTTAGAAATGTGTTGAAGAAATCTCTCTGTAAACATAATTTGGGGGGGAAAAAAATTCAGGGGGGCTAATAATTCTGACTTCAGCTGTATATTTATAGCTATGAATATGGGACCTTAATCTCTGCTCTGTCGACTTTCGATGTTGAAAATGTGACTTTTATTGACATTTTAATAGTTTGAAATATATAATAATATATAAAAAGAAATAACACACAGAAAAATTAGTCTGTAAAATAACAGACAAAGTGTTTATAGTGTAATATACAACGCCAACCCAGACGATATATCACTTTAAACTATTAAAAATGTTCATAATAGTCTTTTTTTTTTTCAAGATTAAAAATTGTTGGAAAAAGATCAAGATATTTTAATGCAATTCAAAAGCATAAATAAAAGGGGGAAAACAACAAATAAAAACATTAATCACATAAATCTGTTAATTTACGTGTATTTTTTACAGTGTACATGTGTCTAATTCCAGCAGGAAAGCACAGACAGCAGCTGTGTACATGCGTCTACATATGTGTTGAATGAACAAGACTTTATTTCTTTTTGTCTTCCCCCGTGGGACGATACTGATGCAATACGGTGTTAGACTATTTTAGAATCGGCAAACTCTCGGTGCAACTCTGAGAATCATAACGCACTGATGAAATATCATTCTCAACCGAGCAATGCAGCAGGAGCGAGACCTTCCTGACTCAAACCATCAAAAACAGATCCTGTCCTAAACATTATCTGACGTTGGTAAGTTTAGGGCCGGTACTCTCTTTTAAAACAAGGGTTCTCAGAGATTAGAAGAACTGTTTTCGTTTCTTTGAATAACTTTTTTTTTCTCAGTATGGAGAACATTTAAATGATCTAAAGAACCTTTTCTAATTTAAAGAACTTCTTTGTTTAACAAAAATTTTAAAAGAATGCTTTATATAAAAAACATAAAATAAAAAAAACAAATATTAAAAATATATATTTAATTTGTCATTATATAACCTGTAACTTTTATCTTTGTGCGTTTATTGGTAACTCGTTTAGTATTTAGGCACTAGAATCTAATGAATGAGTGTTCATTAGTATCTAAAAAAAGAACTAGTGTCTAATGAGTTAGCACTAATAAATATATTTTTTAAAATAGTAGTATGTAAAGAGTACACAACCTGACAAAAGTCTTGTCCCCTACCCAAGTTTAAGGAAAAGCAAATAATACTGACTTCTAGTTGATCATTTGGTATCAGAAGTGGCTTATATGAAAGGCAAAGGCCTCTAGATTACGCTTATTTGACCAAAATAAAATCTAATCATGCTTTGATTTTTAATGATTACATTAGGACAGTAAGGTCTGACTTTGCTTAGACAAAAGTCTCGTCACTGAACAGAAATAATGTCCAGTATAAATTATAAAGTCCTGCTGCAGTGGAGACAGAATGAATATTGTGTCTGACTCCATCATGAGCTTGGAGGACTGCATCCATACATCTCTGCAATCACTTATCAATAAAGTCATCTGGAATGGCAAAGAAAGCGTTCTTGCAGGACTCCCAGAGTTCATCCAGATTCTTTGAACTATTTTTCAATACCTCCTTCTTCATCTTACCCCAGACATGCTCAATAATGTTTATGTCTGGTGACTGGGCTGGCCAAATCTGGAGCACCTTTTTTAACATTCTATTGTACAGCAGAAACTATTCATCATGTATTTTTATCTGTAACACCTTGTAAATTATTTGTCAAAATATTTGCAGTCATTGGAGTATAAGTAGAGTTTGTTTTTTGGACGGATCTCTGTCAGACATTCTACTACAGTATATGCATTTACGATATGTCAGTATTCTGGACACTCTACCATAATGAATATATTTGCAAATGCATTCATTTAAATTTAACAGTCTAATAATAGTGCACACATTTTCCAAAAAGAGTTATTTATTAGTTCTTAAATTTTTTTTATCAATATACTTTATTAATTCTTATACATTTCTTCACTTCTTTTCTTTGTTAATTCTAATTTCCAATAATAGTAAATTTTTCTAATTCCTATAATACTCTATTACAATTAGAATTTTTGGTCCCACTTTATATTAAGTGTCCTTAACTACTAAGTACTTACATTAAAAAAAATAAATACAATGTACTTACTGTGTTTATAATGTATAATGTGTAAGGTGTAAGGGATGCTCAACAGTGTATTTACAAATGTAATTACAAAAGGTAATTACAGATGTAATTAAATACATGTATTTATTCAAGCATAGTACACAGTAAATACATGTATTTACACAATAAGTACATTGTGACAAACTAATAATTCATGTGTAAGTACATATTAGTTAAGGCCACTTAATAGAAAGTGGGACCGAATTTTTAAATAGTAATCTTTAATAGAGTATTTTCAGAAATCAATTAATTTATTTTACTTAACCTAACAGTCCAATAATAGGGCACTAATTTTATAATAAGAGTAGATTGAGTTGTATTTGCATGTATATATTTAAAGGCGATTAGTTGACTTTGAAAATTAGTAAACTTGTTGCCTTAAAATTATTAGGTAAATATGTGCATAAGTGTAAAAAATAAGCTAATTTTACAGTTCCAAATTACTCACTTTTTTAACTTGTAGCTTTTAATTCAATGGGTTTACTCACATATTTATATATAGTGACTAATTGCTTTTTTTTAGTCGACACAACATAGAAAGACCATCAAAACAAGTGTAACTTTCTGTATTTCAGACGAGCACTTGAACTCATGGAATATCAGAGAAAAGTATTAAAGCAATAACGTCTGAAAGCCAAGCGGAGAAAGTTTAAGTTGAATAAAGAGTCATTAAAAGTGCTGAACTCACGGTCTGTGTGTCAGAGTAGATGGTCTGCTGAGGAAGCTCCAGGCAGATGTGCTCATCAGGAGCTTCATGCTGATTAATAAAGGCTCAGGACTTCCTCTTTTACTAAAGAGAAAAACAAAGACCTTCGTGAACCAAAAGATCAGGTCAGTCTGACACACAAATCTGTGACCCTCTGATTCCTGATGACCACAGCGAACTCAAGACTGTCACGTAGATGTGATTATTACATTCATGTATGATAACAACCCCCTATGGTTTAAAATTAGTAAAAGATATGAAGTGTATTGAACAGTCCCAGCAATAATGAGATTGATAATCATTGCATTTTAAGATGAATTGAGGTATAAACACTTGCTAACATTATTAATTAATACATGACCTTGTGATGCTTTATGTGTAATTTCTTCATCAGACAACAACTGTTGGTTAAAATGATAAACTTTATCAATCTTAAAGCTTGATGTTTTATTATATAAGCCCTAGTAGACACCAGCATATTATGTTTTCATATATGTTTTTTCCCCATATAGATATAGGCGGGCCTATATCCTCCACTTATAATGAAATGCATTTAAAATTTAAATAATTAAAATGTATAACTATAAATAAATTTATATAATAAATAATTATATATAATTAAAATAAATAAAAATTTATTAAACATTCAGACAATTAATGAGCTCAATTTTTTTTATCTATTCATATATTTATTTATATATTTATTTATTTATTTATTTATTATATTATTTTATTATATTATTTATTATATATTTATTATATATGTTTTTTATTTATTTGTTAATTTATTAATTCACACACACACACACACATATATATATATATATATATATATATATATAGTTATAGTTATTTATATATTATTTATTTGTTTATTTATTTATTTGTTTTTTTTCTTATATATATATTTTATATATTATATTAATATATATTATATATTATTTATTTTTATTAGGTCTCCTAATCAATTGTATACTTACACAAAAACAAAACAAAACAAGAGATTAATTGTTATTTTAAGATTTATGGCCTGATTCTGTTTAGCGATAGGTTTAGCTGCTAGGTAACTTTAAAGATTGCTCACATAAAAAAAAATAATAGTAATTTATAATAATAAAGTGTTTGTGAACCGTGCTATTGTAAATCAAATTATACTCTGAGGAGATGTTTAGGGCATGCGTAAGACCCCTGCAATTTACAGAAAGGCTCGCATCTGAAGTGTTTACTGCAGCATTTGTTCATGTGTTATGGTTAGAGACTGATTTACTTATAACCTTAAGGATTGGTTAAGGTTAGGCCAATGCTATCTCACTCCAATTCATAACTTTTTCATTTAGGTTTGTAATTCGTATGATTTTGTACGATCAAATTTTTAGTAAGAGTTTTTCGTCTTTTAGGGCTTTGGGGTTTTGTGCCGCGCCTTCTTTTAAATAAACATTTTCGGTCACACTTTACAATAAGATTCATTAGTTAATGTTAATGAATGCATTTACTAACATGAACAAATAATGAACAGTACATTTACTACTGTATTTGTTCATGTTAGTTAACGTTAGTTAATGAAAATACAGTAGTTCATTGTTAGTTCATGTTAACTCATGGTGCATTAACTAATGTTAACAAGCATGGACTTGGATGTTAATAATGCATTAGTAAATGTTCAATTATGATTAATAAATGCTGTACGTTTGTTGTTCATGATTAGTTAATGTTAGTAAATGCATTAACTAATGAACCTTATTGTAAAGTGTTACCACATTTTCGTACACCTGAACTCGAATGAATGGCCACTAAACTGACAAAACATTAAATAGTTATGCTTTCTCAGGAGATTGGGCTGGTTAGGCACAGGTTTAGTGGTGTGGGTAGCTTTAAGAGTTGTCTACAGTCAGAGAAAGGATTAATGGAATTGGTATGTTTTATAATTTATCTGCTGATTAAGGTTAGAGACAAGTTGATGTAGCACTAAAAGAATGATTCAAACCATGGATTAAAACAACTCTAAACTCGACCTTTAACTTTACATAGTATAAATTATAACTCATTGTTGTAGAGTTATATTACATAAAGGCATCTTGCCATGTTGAATATCAGGAAGTGCCTCAGCGGTCATGTCAATAAAGCTTTGCTGGAAAATACAGGGAAATTAAACTTGTGACATTTTCAGTTTGACCCAAAAAGTCAGCTTGGACCTTGTTCCTTGTTTATCAATTTCAATTTAAAAGGCGTCTTTTGAGGAATTGAAACAAAAAACAGGTTTGCAAAATCAAATAAAAGTAACACTTGAGTTTGGTAACCTCCAGTGATAAGCTGGAGATCTGAAAGTTTAAAACAATTGCTTTGGGGATTCAATTTTGAAGTTAAGGCAAGGCAAGTTTATTTATACAGCAAAAGATGGAGCCATTTACTGTTCTCATCCCTACTTGAGTCACAGATAATGTTGATTAAGATTATTATTCAGTTAGCACTGCTGCCTCACAGCTAGAAGGTCGCTGGTTCGAGTCCCAGCTGGGCCAGTTGGCGTTTCTGTGTGAAGATTCCATGTTCTCCCCGTGTTGGCGGAGGTTTCCTGGTGCTCCAGTTTCCCCCCACAGTCCAAACACATACGCTATAGGTGAATTGAATAAGCTAAATTGGCCATAGTGTACTTGTGTGTGTGAATTTGAGAGTGTATGGGTGTTTTCCAGTACTGGGTTGCAGCTCAAAAACGTAAAATCTATACAAAATAATAATAATCAATCCAAAATCATTGCAGGGCGGCAAAGGGGCTCAGTTGTTAGCATCTTCACCTCACAGAAAAAAGGTCACTGGTTCGAGTCCCAGCGGGGCCAGTTGGTTAATCTGTGTGGAGTTTGCATGTGCATGTGGCGACCTCTGATAAATAAAGGGACTAAGCCGAAGGAAAATGCATGAATGAATGAATGAGTTCAGTGCAATGATATTGATATGTAAATTAATTGGGAGACCTATGACAGGTTTTCTGCCAATTGATGATCTATCTATCATTTTTAGTAGGTAAAAGATCTTATGATAATTAGCTCAGAGCTCAAGTATGATAATACAATTCAGAACTGGAAGCCCAAGTCAAATTGGATTCTCTACAAATGATGTGTTTGATTGTGCAGTGTTGGTGAGATGTGTTGACTAATATAGGTGTTATTGGTTTGTTCTGAATGGAGTGACCTACTGTATTTGGGTAAAACCATACTTGATCAGGCTCACTTCACTTTCACTATTTTCCACAACTTCAATTTTATTTGTGCAGATCATTTAAAAGCTCTTAAGTAAAGTAAAATACTTGACCCAAAAGTGAAAATTTTCCCCTTTCCACATTCCTCTTGTGTGATTCCAATCAATTATTTATGACTAGATTTTCCACTATATTTATGTATTCATCAGTGTTTCCCCCACAGTCCAAAGACATGCGGTACAGGTGAATTGGGTAGGCTGAATTGTCCGTAGTGTATGAGTGTGAATGAGTGTGTGTGGAAGTTTCCCGGAGGTTTGTTGCAGCTGGAAGGACATCCGCTGTGTAAAACATATGCTGGATGTTGGTGGTTTATTCCGCTGTGGCGACCATTGATAAATAAAGGCATTAAACCGAAAAGAAAATGAATGAATGAATGAATTATCACTATAATGGCGACATGGTGGCTCAGTGGTGAGCACTGTTGCCTCACAGCAAGAAGGTCACTGGTTCGAGTCTCATGTTCTCATCGTGGGTTTCCTCCATATGCTCCGGTTTCCCCCACAGTCCAAAGACATGCGGTACAGGTAAATTGGGTAGGCCGAATTGTCCGTAGTGAATGAGTGTGTGTGGAAGTTTCCCGGAGGTGTGTTGCAGCTGGAAGGGCATGTGTAAAATATATGCAGGATAAGTTGGCGGTTTAATCCACTGTGACGACCCCAGATTAATAAAGGAACTAAGCTGAAAAGAAAATGAATGAATGATCTCTATAATGGTGACATGGTGGCTCAGTGGAGAGCACTGTTGCCTCACAGCAAGAAGGTCCCTGTTTCGAGTCTCATATTGTCATCGTGGGTTTCCTCCAGGTGCTCCGGTTTCCCCCACAGTCCAAACACATGCTCTATAGGGGAATTGAATTAACTAAATTGGCCATAGTACAGGAGTGTATGAGTGTAAATGCATGTGTATGGGTGTTTCCCAGTACTGGGTTGCATCTGGAAGGGCATCCACTTTGTAAAACATATGCTGGATAAGTTGGCAGTTCATTCCTCTGTGGTGACCCCTGATGACTAAAGAGACTAAGCAAACTATGTCTGTGAGAGACTTTTAATTTTATTTTCAATTATAGCTACAAGCGTTGTTTTATTACTCTGATCAATGTATTTTCCACATCTCTATAATAACTCATAAGTAGGCCGACACGGAATTTGCATGCGCAGAATTCTGCAGATTTCCTCAGATTTTTAGCCCATCATTAATTATGTTTATTTACTTGTGTAAATGTGTGTAATATTTAAATGTATTCAGTTTTTTTTATTAATTTCAGTAATATTATTGCCTAATATGAAAATGTTCATCTGATTTATGTTCTTTTAGTAGAGATATTATATGAGAGACTTGCTTTGTTCACCAAATAAAGTGAATCTATTTGCATTTACATTTTAAACATTAAATAACAGTTAAAATATATATATTTATTTTGCATATTAATGTTTTAGTTATGATACTCCCAAAATAATTTCGCAGAAATCTGCAGATTTTTACCAAAAAACTCAGGAGAATTATTAAAAAAACTTCCGCAGATTTCGTCTGGCCCTAGTCATCAGCTAAATTGAGAGTGATGTTGAATAAACCCACAAGAGGGCGCACAGAGTTAGTGGAATTTTATATTTGACTAGAAAATGCCCAGCCAGTGTTAATGATTGTCATTATTCATATTTCTTAACTTTTATTGGATATGAAATATTAATATAAAAAAATAATCTGAACAAATCTGCAAACAGCACCCACAAAAGCCTGTACAAGTGTGTGTGCATGTGTATGTGCTCAACCCTGTTCCTGGAGATCTACCTTTTT